TTGGGAACCTCCCACCCAGGAAAGCAGGGTACAGTGTTTGTTCTAAAAGGCCCTGGACGAGCGGGAGGAACAGCCTGGTTCTGAGAGCCCTACAGATAATCCCAATGCACGAATCAAGGGCAAGAGACACAGCTTTACAAAGAGCGAAGTAGATGACAAAGTAGTCAAAGCATTTTAAAAACATAGCCTGGCAGAAAACAGGTACAAAAATGCCGCGTCCTGATTGCGTTCAATTAGCTCCAAGGGGTATTGACTCTGTTCTGGAGCTATTGGACATGTGATAGTTATTAAGGGAAGTTTGCAGAGATGGGCTCAAAAGGAACACGTGTGAGGCTGGCACGGGACCAGGCAGTGCTTCCTCGTGCTGCACACAGGGTCGCTATCAGTCGGAACCAACTCAATGGGACCTAGCAAGACAAGGGAATTTTGCAGACTGTAGGAGTAAAGAAGCATCTGTACGTAGTTATAGCCCCTAGCGATATGCTAAATACTGTTCTGTGATACACTATAGCACATGGTCAGTTCTAAGTTCTACTGCTGAGTGAATAAAGCATTATAAAGTGCTATGGTAGCGAGGAGAAGCAGGACAACACTGAGCCGTGCCTTGAAGGATGGAAGGAACTGAAGAGGCAGGTACAGAAGGGGAGAGGCAGGGTGGGGGCAGCAGGCACTTTAAGGGTCATGATAGAACAATATTTTTTGTCACAGCAGGTGATTTCTTCATCCTGATAAGAAGCTCTGCTAAAATGTAGGGTCACTATGAACTGGAACGGATTCACCGGTAACAGGTTTGGTTCTCTGGTATTGCAATTCTGGGTGTTGATCGACGGCTCAGGGTACGTAAGTATCCCACCTGTGCCACATCCAGCATTTCAATTCCTCCAGGTTTCCGGCTGCGCTGGGCACACGGCTAGTCCTGGCACCTCCACCAGGCCAGGGCATGTGCAGTCGATGGGCTTACCTCTCGGCGTAAGTGACAGCTGGGCGTGGGGTGGGCATTAGCAGAGGAAGTGCAAACCACTGGCTAACGTGGAGGACAGCTGAGTTAATGACACCCTCGGATCCTGTATCACTGGTTCCGTCCGTTTGAAAATCTTTCTGACTTTATTTGTAAAAATTAGCTCAAACACGCTCACTTCTCTCTCTGCTTCCATTGCCAACAGTCTTGACCTAGACCAGTGGCTCTCAACCTTCCTCCTGTCGGGACCCTTTCATACAGTTCCTCATGTTGTGGTGACCCCCCGCCCCCAACCATAACATGATTTTCCTTGCTACTTCATCACTGCCATTTTGCTACTGCTATAAATTGGGCGACCCCTGTGTTCATTCAACCCCCCAAAGGGGTGGCGACTTACAGGTTGAGAACTGCTGGCCTAGACCAAGACACTAACATCTCGTCTCAACTTCTCCCCACCAGATCTGCACAGAAACCAGTCTCCTTCCATTTGGTTCTCCATTCAGGAGCCCCTGTTTCTGCGACGACATAAATCGGGGCATGCCAAACCCACAAGTATGAGCTTCCAACGACTTTCTATCCGACTTCAAGTAAAACCCTTCTCTTTTCCTTCTTTCTTTTTTCATTTCCCAGTAGCCTACAAAGATCTGCTCCCATAAGGCTGCCAAACTAGGACGTCTCATGACGCAGCTGCAGCCTGTAACTCCGGGTAACTCCTAAGTCCGCCTCAGCTTCAGGACAATAGAAGGCAGCGGAGAATTCAAACTCCTCCCAGAGGAGCGGCAAACCACCCACAATCGAGTGTTGCTCTTAAGCATTCTCAATTTTCTGGTGAGCGGTAGTGTGCTTCTTTAAACCACAGGATCTCTGGTCGAGGAGTGGTCAGGTATTGGACTAAGAAGGGCAAGGTCAGCAGTTTGAAACCACCAGCTGCTCTGAGGGATAAAGACGAGACTTCCTACTCCTGTAAAGAGGAACCGTCTCAGAAACTCACAGGGGCAGTTCTGCTCTGTCCTGCCATGGTTCAGACCCATAGTGACCTTATGCACAACAGAAGGAAACACTGCTCAGTCCGGTTGCTATCTCCTCCAGTGTCCCCATGCTGAAGCCCACGGTTCTGTAGCAAAGGTCGGCAAACTGCCGCTGGCCAGCTATATGCAGCTCTTTCCAAATGGTCGTGAGGGACAGGGCTGGCGCTTCCATTCCCAAAGTTTGCCGGCTCTGTGTTGTACTAGACAGGGTCGCTCTGTGTTGTACTAGACAGGGACAGTGAGCTTGGTTGGGGTCTTTAACCACAGGGCTAGCCCTGACAGAGGAGCTGCTGGTGCAACGGCGATGTGCCTGGCTGTGAATTGAAAGGACCCGCCCGCTGAAAAAAGACCTGACAATCTGCTCCTCTAAAGATGACACCCTTGGGGACCCTATAGAGCAGTGCCATGCTCTCTAACAGGGTCCCCAGGACTCAGGAGCAACTTGAAGGCGTGCAACAGCAATCTGTTATAGGAGCACGTGGACTTCATCTTCCTCTGCTATGGCCTTGGCCGCAGCACGGGACACAGTAGCTGCTCAATACACATCTGCTGAATCTCTCAGGTCAAACTCTTTTCAAGGCAACGTACCTTCCTTCAGTGCTGCAGCGAGCAATGAGGCGGCCTGCGGAGGCTCCCCGGGGTCGGGCTTAATGAGGAGGTGGGGCTCTAGGTGGACTTCTTCAAACCCACTCAGTTCTCCCAGTTCTGCATAGATATGCAGCTTCTCTTCCAAGTACGTGCAAATCTGCTGGTCCTGGTTACTGAGCAGCTCTAGGAAACAGTGGTTACCAGAAAGGTTATCACCAACGCCAACAGGAAGACAGCTGTGAGAATCAAAGTTAGGAGATGAAGGTCTGGGTTGTTAGCAAGCAGCCTGGTCTTAACAAGGACTCCCTGCGTGGCGCTCAGGGTGAACACCAAAAGGTTGGCAGGGTGAGTCTACCCAGTGGCACCTCAGCAGAAGGACCTGGTGAGAGTCGCCCAAATAAATGATCACCTGCTGAGAACCTGCCGGAGCACAGTTCTGCTTGGACACACGTGGGGTTCCGCTAAGTCAGACCAACTTGATGGTAAATGGTTATTGCTTCCCAGGAGAAGTACAGGAGGCTGAGTGGGGCCGACTCTGGGTCCAGTCCCGTCTGTCCTAGTCGGTGGCCCAGGGGTGGCCTCCATCACATGCGTCTACACCTCTCTGGGCCTCCACTGTCTTTCCTGTAAATGAAGCGCTCAACGAATGCTCATCTGATTTCTCATCCTCCTGTTCCAGAAAAGTATGCCAAGCGAGCCTTTGTTTATCCCAACTGTTTTCTCCTAAGTCTAAACACTAAGCTCAGGAATGCAAGCGGAGGCGGCACTGTGCAAGCGAGGGACCACCCACCAAAGAAATTAATGCCAAGACCTGCCTCTCCGTGGCTGCCGCCGGTTCTTGGCCCACACCCCACACGCTGGTTCCTGTTTCTGAACATCCAATTTCCGTGACCATTTTTGCATGCATCGTTTCCCTCTGATTTCAACAGGTCAGAGAAGAATTCCCAGAGCTCACAGAGCCCTTAGCTAGCATTGGATCCTGGGGGCGTGGCAGGAGGGTGTGTGTGGAGTGATGTGTAGCCCCTCTGTGCCTCTGGACCACCTGGCAGAGTCTAGAGTAACATCCCCTACTCCCCATTCTGCCTACAGATTGTGACCCACTGGGTGGAGGGTGAGGTCCAGGCACCAACGTGTTTAAGAGTCCTCCTGCAAGTGAAGCTCATATTTAGCCAGAGTTGTAAATCATCGAGTTCATCTAATTCTCTTACTGCACAGATTGGGAAGTTGAGGACCAGAGTCACAAAGCTGTGAGGTGACAGTGCTGGGTCTAACATCGGGCCATCAGCCACCCATGCCCATGCATACCTCCTTCCACTGCCCAGGAGTCTGGTGTTACATGTGTGGTGCACATACCTGTCTAGAAATCTATGTCTGATCACAAAGGCAAAGGAGGGAGAGACGGTCATCTTATCTGAGCACTCCTCGGGCCAGCTTGATTTGCTGTGAGGGCATGAGGGAGGTGGGCCTCAGCTGCCCAGGACTGAATTAATCGCTTTGTCTACACCCTCAGCTGAGGGCAGCTGGGTCTCACCAGGTGATGGTCCATTTTATGGGTCAACTTGGCTAGGTGGTGGTGCCCAGTGGTTTTGCCAATCACAAGACTCATTGCTGTTCCCTAATGTAATGGAATTCAGCCGGGTGCAATAGAATTAACTAATCTGTGGAAAAGGGCAATGTGTGGCCTCCAGACTATGGGTCGATATTCTGGCAGCACTCGCTCTGTCCCTCCACTCTGTCCACTTCTGTACCTGAGCAATGGCTCTTGGGATGCCAGCCTGCAGCTTGAAGGCTGCCACCTGATGGACAGATGTGGGACTCGCCAACCCCCACAACCACAGGAGCCAAACGTTCCCCCTCTCCCCCTTTATGCCTGTGTGGAGGCGTGTCCCCCAAACCCACTGGCATCGAGTCAATTCCGACTCATGGGACATCAGGGGACAGAGTAGAACTGCCCTCTTTGGGTTCCTGAGACTGTAGATCTTGGCAAAGGCAAAGCGCCCCATCTTTCTCTCAAGGAGTGACTGACGGGTGTGAAAGGCTGACCTCGCAGTTAGCAGCTCAGCGTGTAGTCCGTTCGACTGCAAGGGCCCCAGGTAGAATGTCTCCTGTATGTGTGTGTACAGAGAGAGAGAGAATGTCTATCTCTCTGTCTGTCACTGGCTCTGTCATCCTAGAGAAGGGCCAGAGGATGTACACTGGTACAGATAGGAACTGGAAACACAAGGAATCCAGGACAGATGATCCCTTCAGGACCAGTGGTGAGAGTGGCGGTACTGGGAGAGTAGAGGGAGGATGGGGTCAAAAGGGGGAACCAATTATAAGGATCTACATATAACCTCCTCCCTGGGGGATGGACAACAGAAAAATGGGGGAAGGAGACATCGGGCAGTGTAAGATATGATAAAATAATAGTAATTTATAAATTATCAAGGGGTCATGAGAGAGGGGAAGCAGGGAGGGAGGGGGGGAAATGAGGAGCTGATACCAAAGGCTCAAGTAGAAAGCAAATGTTTTGGGAATGATGAGGGCAACAAATGTACAAATGTGCTTGACACAATGGATGTATATATGGATTGTGATAAGAGTTGTACGAGCCCCCAATAAAATGATTTTTTTTTTAAAGAAAAGAAAAAAAAACGAACCCTGATGAAGACACTCAACATGCAAAGAGCATGCCTTAGCGCGTGAGCCTGCGCACCAGCACCGTACCTTGACACTGCTGAATTTTGGCCGCTCTTGCTTCTGCTTTCCGCCTCTCTTCGTCCAACTCACTTGTCCTCCCCCCTTCTTCTTCTGGGCAACTTTAAAAAACAAACAGTCAAGGGAAAGACTGACACCAAACCCCAGGATCCCCAGGCTCATTAGAAAGACGGGGAACTGGGGAAACATGCACAACACATTCTCTTTTCAGAAGGAATAAGATCCAGCATCAAGAGAATTCATCATGCATCCCGCCGAAAATTTTAGCTTTCCACAGCATGGACAGGACCTTGTATGAGGGGCCTTTGGAAAGAATATGGAACATGGACAAAAGATGAGTCATTTGTCCGTGAACTTTCTGAAGGCCCCTCGTGTAACATAACACATATCTCAAAGATAGCAGTAGAGGAGGCTGCAGCATGCCAACAAGCACACACCTACATAAACATACACACACACAAAACCTGGTCGGGCATCGGGTACAACAAGAATTGTTGCTTCCTGCTACATTTTGGTAGTTCCCCTTTGAGTGGAGTTGGGGTACAAGGATCAGAGCTGGTGGCAACAGAGTACCGGACCAGGTGGGGAGCGATGCGTGCAGGAACTTCTATAGAATGTTCACTCGAGATCCGAATCACAAGTTCTCGCTAACAAGAACCACTTTCCACCTCCTGTGCCCCCTTCACAAAAAAACTGTCCTCGCACAAGACAGGAACCAATGTGCTTAGAGCACTGAGATGCACCCATATAAAGACTATTTATTGCGGGACTCTTAGATGCTGGGCACACAAAGGCACATAAAACAGGGACCTGCCCTCCAGGGGCTTCCAGGGTTCTTATATATAAACATATTGTACATAAAGAGATACAGGACACAAGGCTCACGATGGCAGGCACCAAATGACCGCTTGAAGAGCAGGTAGTAAGGCAGTGCAGGTAAGGGAGAACCCACTCAGCCTGAAGGTCTTCCCAGAGGAGGTGAGACGCGAGGTGCAGCAGAGGTGGGCGGGACGCAGACGGGCGGAGGGAAGGAGTGGGCAGTGCATGCAGAGAGGTGCAGCTGAGGGGCTACTGCAGGCAGGTGCAGGAGGGAAGGAGCAGACCCTTCGGGCTGAAGCAGAGTTTCCAGGCAGAGGAGACACGGTTAGACTATGCTCCCCCATTGAATAGAACCATTTCACAGAAAAGAGACAGGGACGAGAGGTTACCTCTCTACGGCCTGTTGGATCCGTCTCATCCAGTTATTCCGCTCCTCCTTGGAATTCGTATGGATCTCATACATTTCGGGACCGGAAGACGACGCACTGATGAGAAACATCCCCCTCTCCTCGTTCGCAACTTCTCTGGCGATCAGCTTCTGCAGAGAGATGACTGGCGGCTTCTGATCCTACGCAAAACACAAAGATGTCCGGGTGGAGCAGCGGCAGGGCAGAGCCCGGAGGCTCCCCAGAGACAGGCAGGGGCGGAGGAAGGCAGCAGGAGGCGCTACCTTTCTGTCGAAAGAGGCCCGGGAGTTGACAAGCTCTCCAAGCGAGGGAGCGTGAAGAAGAAAAGCTTCAAAAGGAGGGCTTGGTGGAATGTTTGTCCGTAAGAATCGGTGTTAGAAAGCACAACCTCGTGAAAGAACAAACCATAGAAGACAATACGAGACCGAGGAAAAACGATCCAAACGCAAGGGTCAAGAATGGAAGGGCTTTTTGAGAAGGGGTCAGAAATTGTGCATCACATACTACCAAGAGATTGAGGAGGATGGAGAACTCTGAAAATCCCATTGGACTCGCCACTTACGAGGGCTACAGTTTCACTAAGATGATGGGGACTGAACCTCCAAATATCAAGGGCTGGGACTGTAAAAACGACAGGTAAGAAAGAAAGAAGATTGGATTTCCCAGGCATCCCCAGCCTTCCTGACTCTCGTACCAGAGAGTGGAATGCAATACAACTTAAACCGCTCTCCCTGGAAACGGCCCTGTGCCCCACTGGTGGAGAGCCATGTGTGGGTGAGCACGAGTCTCGTTTTTCTTTGTAGCCCAGCACATTGCCGTGTGTATAGTAGATGGTCCAAAAAATATAGCTGTAGACTTAGAGTTTAACTGATTGCCATCAGAGAGGAAAAAGAAGAGGGCAGTTTTTATAAATGGGAGTGGGGTCCCCACACTTTAAATCCAAGCCACGAGTCAGTCACCTCTTCTGCCACCCTTGCCTGGGCCCCCTCAATGGACTGTTGCAAGCTTGGGGGTGTCAATTCGAAGACGACTCTATAATGCTGACTTGGATACGTCGTTGCTGCTGAATGCCTCCAGGAGGAAGGGCTTTGGGGTAAACATGAAGAATCTTCTATGGTTTGCGGCTCCCACCACTGTGGATAGGCTCGGCTGCTGGATGTGGTTTTGCTTCTCCCTCACGGACTGAGCGACGCCTGCATGCAGAGCCTGCCACCCTGTCCCTCCCTGCTGACGCCTAGTGCTGGCCTGTCTGCGCTCCTAGCATTACACAGCTTTACCACATCTGAAGCGCCAGGCCTGCTGTACCCCGTTCTTCTTAGAATAGCTTGCAGGGGACAAAAGACATACAGAAACACACACATATACACATATGCACACATACACATATATGTATACACCTGCACACATATGCACACACTCACACATAGAGTAGGAGGAGGAAGATGATGATGTTGATGATGATGATGATGATGATGATGACACAAACCACTGGTCTCTGGAGCCCCAATTTCTGCCTCCAAAAATAATCTTGTTTATCTTAGATGAATCTTTGCAGTAGAGCTTCCTGATTGTTGTCTTCTCAGATTAGGCAGATACCGTTAACACTTCTAATATCCCTGTTATGGATCCAGCAGAGGAAGATGCTTTCTGCTCGCTAAAGACCTACAGCCTCACAGCCCCTGCACAGGGCCACTAGCCATTGAACTTGACTCCGTGGCAGCGAGGTTGCTTTGGGTCTGGTTGTCTTTAGCTCCCTGTTGAACCCTAACCCGGTCACCATCCTGAGGAATACTTGAAGCCCGATGGCATAAAGGATCAGTGTTCAGCTGCAAACCACAAGGTGAGCCGTTTGAACCCACCAGCCACTCTGCAGAAGAAAGATGAGGCTTTCCGGCCCTGCCCCCACAGAGATTGACAGCCCCCGTAACTCAAAGGGTCCAAACCACTCTGCTCGATCCTATAGGATTGCTATGAGTCAGAATGCACCTGATTATTTTATTTTATTTGGGGGGTTAACGCTGCTTGATATGTTGGCCTTTGCACTGGCACAAGTACATGTGCACTTTGTCTGTTATAGCATTTCTTCCCTTCACAAGTATCTTTCTATGTACTGAAGAGGCTCCGTCTAGACCCCATGTTCAGGGGTACAGGAACGTATCACCTTCCTTCCTGTTGACTAGCTGGTCTAGGTTCTACCCCAGTTTCCGAGTCCTTTAAACAAGGAAAAAAACCTCTCGTACATATGTTATTTCATCCTATTGTGACTTTCAGCTGCCTAGCTTCTGGAAAATTCAAAATTCATAATTTCTTCTGTAACATGAAGCAAGCAAGAGAAGCATTTCCTGAAGAAGGCTTTTTCAAAAGGCATGGGAAGAAGAATGTCCCATCTCTGGGGATTAGCATGAGGAAAAATTCCTAGTATATCAAGATGGGAGCTAGAAGATCTAGTTATTTGTATCCAATATCTCCAATTAATAACACACACACACACACACCCCCGCCAGGATGTTAAAATACAAAATGTTTGCGTCGAATGAGCTATTGTCAGACAGATGCCACGCAAAAGCATATCATCGGGCACTATGATAAACTGAACGCTTTAAGGTTAAGATGATGTTTCCTTTTTTGCTTCTTGACACTGCCAAGGATTTGGCTATGTGAATTGTATCTGTATCACAGGATAACATACTCCAGAAACAGCATCCACAACATGGCACTGCTACCCATGATCCAATACATTAAACCAAACACAAGCACAAACTACATTAAACAAATACATTAAACCAAACACAAGCACTGCTACCCATG